TTCCCCTTCAGTGCACATCAAGTTTAGGTTCTCTCTTAGGACCAAAATTAGTACTCCAAGCTCAGTCAGACAAGAAGGTTACCTGAGCCGAGTTACTTCCATTAGCAGAATGCAGAAAATTAATTTTTCCACAATCCGACACATCCTCACACTAAGTCGAGTCTGAGTAGCCTTATTTATGATCTTTTATGGGACACTAGCTCAAAATACAGAGGATGCCATGCAGTTCGAATCAGTGACAGCACACACTTCCACTTTTGGATACACTCACAGATCCACATACTTTTTTTCTGAAGTGTGTTTTTCTTTGATGTAATATCACTACAGAGAGGTTTGTTCTTTTCCCACTGGAAACACTACTGATAGAGTGGTCTTACATTTCTCATGTTTTCAAAGTCTTTATTTATCAATACAAGTTTTAAGCTTGTCTTACTTAAAAGCAAGTAGGACTAGTGAAGATGATTAAAAAATAGTTTATAGCATAAAAAATGAAGGAGCTTTCAAATTTATGTTCCTTACTTTACCTTATTACTGTATATAAATGCCTTAAAAGTAAGTAGCATTAAATAATGAACAGCTATTATAAAACCTCTACACACTAAGAGAAATTACCAAAGCATAACTAGGATATATATTCTATAACACACAGCAGCAAATATTTAAGGAAGACGTGTTTTATGAAGAACTAGTATGATCTGGTAAGGATTTTTAAGAGACTTGAGAACTCTAGAGTTCTACTCCCTGTGACAAAGTTTCTGGTAAAAAAAACCACAAACAAACAGAAAACAGTAGATACATGCTGGTTGTGTTTCGAATACACTGTAAAATTATAAAATAAAATGCACTGTAATTACATCATAGAATGTTACAGGGTCAAAAACACACCTTAGACTCTACTTTTCCAGGAGGCAGAAATTCCATTTCAAATATGGGATTATCATGATGACCAACTATCACGAAGTAGAAACTTCCAGACATTCTTCAAAATATCACTCCTTACAAGAAAAAACAGACATGCTGATGAGTCTATACATAGTCTGTGTAGAAGTGATCCTAAAAATTAGCCAACATGCTTCCTGTTCGTATTTACCAGAGGCTGAAGAGAGATAGACACTCAGGTATGCACATCAAGAGGATGCAGACAGTAGTGGCCACTACCAGGACATGAGGCACAGACAGAAGCTGATGCACAGGAAGTTCCACCCCAATATGAGGAAGAACTTAACTGTGTGGGTGACCGTGCACTGAACAGATTGCCCAGAGAGGCTGTGGAGTCTCCCTCACTGGACATATTCAAGAACTGTATGAATGCAATCCTATGCCACATGCTGTGGGATGACCCTGCCTGATCAGGGAGACTGGACCAGATGACCCACTGCGATCCCTTCCGACCTTCCCCGTTCTGTGATTCTGGGGGGAGAAGGGGAAATACCCTTAGAAAGCTGAACATCTCCTGGAAGTGAACCTACTTACTGGTACCTACAAACGCCTCCTGCACCGTTCACTGACGATTTATTCCCTGACAGCCCCCTCAGCCATCTGGACGCGGCGATCCCACGCAGTAACGCGGGGCACTGCCTCCGAGGAACCTCCGAGGAACCTCCTGGCCCATCTCTCCCCGGACCCTGCTCACGGGCAGCAGGAAGGGGAAGGGCCGCCGTCCCCCCTCGCACACAGCGGCCGTGGGGCAGTCCCGCGGCCCCATTCGCGGGCACTCCGCAGTTACCCGGCAGGTATGAGCCGTCCCGCCGCCCGCCCGGGGGAAGAACCGCAGGGTCCCGCCCGGCCCCGCCGCTCACCCCTCTCCGCGATGATCCGCCCCGCTGCCCGCGGCCGCCCGGAAGCGCCGCGCTCCGCCCGCCCCATCCGGCGCCTCCGTGACGGCACCGCGGCCTCCGGGGCCGCGCCGACACCGGCGCCCCAGCGCGGCCGTACCGGGACGAGCCCGGCGGTGCTCCCCGGCCTCGCTCTCTCGGCCTGGGCTCCCCGGCTCTACTCCCCGGCCCCGTTCCCTGGGCCCGGGCTCCCTGGCTCTGCTCCCCGGCTCTGCTCCCCGGCCCCGCTCCCCGGCTCCGCTCTCCGGCTCTGCCCCCCGGCCCCGGCGCCCTCCCTGTGGGTAGAGGGAAGCTGGGGCGGCGCTCGGCGTCTCGGTGGCCGTGGGTCGAGCTGGGAGTCAGTAATGCTCCTTTTTCTCCCCCCCCCCCTTCCTTCCCGGTGTTGTAGGGCAGGATGGCTTCGGTTGAAAGGGAGGCGCTGTCCCAAGAGGAGCTCCGGAAAAGGCTGTATCAGACTTTTAAGAGCCGAGGCGTGCTGGACACACTTAAGGTGTGCTTTGTGTGCTACCCGTGGTCCGCTGTACGGTGCTTAACACTGAGAGCAGTGAAAGCCGCGCCGAATACAAGTGTCTCACTCTCTGCACTAATGTATTATTTTTTGTGTCACGGCTGCATACCTTCTGTTGAAAGCTTAAAACTCCTTCTGTCGTGATCTTTTAGTATGCCCTAAACAATTTGTATAACTATATAATGAAAATAATTATTTCTTCCTTTTACAGGAGGGAGATTTTATGATTTTAGGTTACTTTTTTTCTCTATTGTAACTCACAGAATGCAAATATATAACGAAAAAATGCCATTTAATTATTATTAATTATTCTCTAGGCTTTTTTGATTAGTACCCTTTTACTGTCCTACAAAATAATTGATATTAAAGATACTGACTTTTCTGTTTATTTTCTCATCTTTCTTTGTGATGGCAGCAGCTTGAAATGAGATTCAAAAGGGTGAGGTTTCCAAGTACACTTGCAACTGAGGCCACATCAGGCAGGCTTTAAGCCAGAGGGAAGGAGAACAGGAAAGCAGTGATTGGAAAATGAAGCTGGGGTAATAGGGTGGTGTTTTTGTGTGAGCTCTTGACTGAGAATACTGCTTTTTAGGCCTACATTTGATACATACTGAGGGAAAGTCAAAGATCACTGTATCCCCCGTTAAGAGTGTTTTGAAGAAAGGCATGTTGTCCCAAGTGCACTTCCAGATTTTGCCAAAATTAGTCTGCTCTGTTCTGTTATGTAGGTTACACAAGTAAAATGAGGCTCCCACTGGATTATGAAAAATTAAAAATCTCATTGGGTAACATGTAAACTGAGAATACAGTGTTTTTTCTGTATCAGACACAGCTCCGAAACCAGCTAATCCATGAACTAATGCACCCAATTTTGAGCGGAGAACTTCAGCCACAGGCAGTTCCAAGCGACGACAGTTCACTTTTGATCACAGCTTCCAACAGTCTGGTGGCAGATCATCTAGAGAGATGTGGCTACGAGTATTCACTTTCAGTTTTCTTTCCAGAAAGCGGATTGGAGAAGAAGAAGGTAAGTTCAGTAATTTGCCTATTCCATGTGTATAAGAACTCTGCTTTCTGGGGGTTGTCATATTCCAGCAATTGAAAAAAACTCTGTGATAGGGAAATACAAATGCAAGTACACCTTCTGATGATCTCTGTAAAACATTTCATTATTCAGGGCCATTTTCATGAGTCCTTTAGACTGGCAATAACGTAACGATGCTGTTCTGGAAAGATGTAGCCAGTAGTCTGGCTGTGTGGCACAGTGTTTGGGGAACTGATCCTGGTAAAAGCTTATTTGGCCATTCAGTTCCCTGAAACTGTGGTCATGGTTAGTTCAAGCTGTTCTAACCACAAAGTGTGGCTGAAAAGAGCAGTCCTTGCCTTTTTTTTTGTTTCCTCTCTTTAAGTGTGATAGGGTGAAGTTTTTTCTAACTGAATAATAATTTCTTGACCTGGTGAGTAGTTAGTTGCCATTTGGGTTAGTGAGCTCATCTGACTTGTAAGATAAATCAGGAAAAGAGGTGAGGAAAGCAGTGAGGACACATATCTAGGGTGGAGAAGAAACAAAACTATCTCTTTTCAGGTCTTCAGCTGATCATAAAGCTACTTACTGGCTTCTGCATGTCTTCCGTAGGGGAATGTGGTACTAAAACAGCAGCCTGTGAATGATTTTACGACACGATAAATAGATCTTACATGAATGGAAAACATTGTACAACTGTAAAATAGAGCCTGTTACATATTAGAAATTATTTTAAGTTAGTTAACCTTTTCTAACTGACCTTTCTTTTCCCTAAAGCTGTGGACTATGCAAGACCTTCTTCACTTAATGAGAATCAGCCCAAAATCCAGTTTTTACAAATCACTGGTAAAGTTATTTTGATTTTGAAAATAAGCTTAAATTACAATGGTGATGAAAATAGACTAGCTAAAACTTCTTTTCTTTCTTACAGACTTCAGGAATCCAGAAGGAAAATAAAGGTATAAGATGTTTATATATGATGCAGACAAGGATAATTATGTTAGCTTCGTTTTTGTTAAGATGTGAGCAATAAAAATTCAAATTTGGTATGGAATAATATAGATTCAGTTGGATTTTGAAGCTTGCAGTACACCAGGGTGATGAATGTTATATTTCAGGATTATCCAGCTCCTGTTTGTGATGTGGATTAGGTGTTAACATTAGCATGCAAAATAAATGACTTGAACATTAGAAACATGAGAAAAATCTGTAATCAGGTATTAAATATAATGCTCTTTGGAAGCTTTTCACACTGCCTTTGGCAAACTCAGATTTTGGGTTGTGTTTATAATGCTGTATTAGCTTGCAGAATATACTTCAAAAACTAGTTACAGGTTTAATTTACTTTCCATTGTTTTGAATAAGAAATAATTCTTATGTCTGCATGATGAAACCTTGCTATACTGTATAACCTAAAGTAGCTTCATAATTAAGTAGTAATAATCTTCACTCTCAACTGTGCTTGGGAGTGAAAGAAACAGAGACATGGATGAGAGGAAAAATTCCAAAAGGACAGCTTTTGCTGAATGAGATTGACTGGAGCATGCTTATAATACACCCACAATAGTTTACTTAAATACTTGTTCTTTCTATAAACCAAATAGGTTTTCTTGTACATTGAAAATTACTTTGTTAATTACAGGCTCAAATGCAGTTTTGTTATGAAATGAGAACTAACTAATCTATTGGATCTTGCCAGGTTTTCTTATGCAGATTTTAATCGGGCTTACAGAGCATCATCTAAATAAGGAAACTCATAACACAGAAACTCAGACAACCTCAGTGCCTCCTTATAGAGAATCTCTTGGTAAGTATAGCCTGTGCAACCAAGTCTCCCCAAATACTTTCATATTGGTAAATGGTATGGATTTATGTATTGTATGAATGGTATGCTTTCATGTCGTGGTTTTGCTCTGGGTCCATTTTGCCTTCTACCCCCCACACAATTACTACTAGCTGAGAGAAGGTATTTGCAGACAAAAGAGAGACAGGATTTGGGGAAAACAGTATATACATTTATTACTAGTAAAATAAAAACTACTAATAAATTAAAAACTAAAGAACTATATCTACAGTAATTTCTACTTAAGTTGAAGTGTTATATATTTACAGAAATACTTCTTCCCTTTTATACCAGTCCAAGGAGAAGAAGTAGTCTCATTCTGTATTTTCAGAGTTTCAGCTCTCTTTCTTTCTAGTAACAAATCCTCAGCAGCAGCACTTTCATTGCAGTTGGAACTTCTTTTCTCTCCTTCTCGCTCTGTGTTGGCTTCTGGGGCTGGGCTTACCCCCCTCCTGGGCTAAGACTGAAGGATGGAGATTATTCAGGTCCTGAAGGGTTTTCCTTCCATAGGCTTGCAAGGGGACACTTGCTTACTATGGATCTTCTTCCACAGGGTTACAGGGGATAATGGTTTAAGAGTCCACCCCTGTTTCCCTATGGAGGTCCCTCCCCATGGGAGAATAGTCCTTGATAGACTTCTCGGCATGGGTCTAATATGAATCCACACACGCACAGATTCCAGCATCTCACATGGGCCATCTCGCTCCAGCATGAGATTTCTCAGAGTCACAAAAACTTTAACAGCAGTATAGATCCACACACGCACGGATCTCGGTATCTCACCTGAGTCATCACTGCTCCAGCACAGGTTTCCCTCAGGGTTGCAAATCTCCACCAGGACTCTGCCTCACTTCAGTCCTTTTCATGAAGCCTTGGTTCTCTTTGGT